ACACACAAACAGAAACGCACACAGCATCGCGCGAGACGGCTTTGTACCTACGTGTGTGACGTTCCTCTCTCACCAATCGTGCCGCGTGTACGCATATATGCGTGTACGCTACTCCATTCTTATTAGAGATCGCCGACTTTCCGCTGCGCGTGCACGCGCGCGCGCACCTGTACGAATCGCGTCGTCTGACCGTGCTGATAACGAGAAAGAAAACTCATTCGCCGCGGCCGCGGCAGAGAGAGAGAGAGTGCGAGGTAAGCTCATATCTTGATATCTCCGATTAGTATTATACTTTAGTAGTGACGAAACTTGACGACACGACGGCGTGATGCTGCAGGTAAACACTGGATCTCGGGCGACGTGCACGTGCACGCAGGAGACACGTGGCCAACTCGGAGGCTCTGTTCCGCGAGCTAGCTAATCTCTCGAGAGCCAGCCTTATCATCACCTCTTTATCGCATCATTAGTTTTTAACAACACAAATGAGCGAAGCAGACCATATTCGGTCAAAACAGCTTTTCATGCCTTATGTATAATATGTAGTTGTAATAATTTTGGGTGAAACGAATTAGTTTTTACGTATAGGTATAATGTAATGAGTTGTATAATTTGATGAAGAAAAGATGCCATCATAGAGGCTCAAGAATAGGTAGTTTTTCAGCTGTGGTGCAATAAAAGGTGCTTTGTGAGCACGCAATAAAGTACACCTTGGCTCCAAAATTGCCTATTATTGACTTGATATCATTATACACATATATATATGTATATATGTATGTATGTATGTATGTATGTATGTATGTATGTGAAAACAAACTCATTTTATCGGGTCCTAATTTTCTATACATATTCTATACGATATAATTAGTTCGGGATTCTTTATTATCAACCAAATTAGTCTCACAGATCGATGATCGATGATTAACTCCAGAACGTTGATCATGTGACTTCCTCTAGTAATGTAATATGTACACATACATAAAAAAAGTTTGAAGTTTCCGCCCTATAGGGAAAAAATTACATGGTTGATCCCCTGAGAATCAACAGGATGGAGCGAACCGTTTCGCGAGAGTCGAAAACATTTAAATCCATTGGATCATAACAGCAAGATGATTTCGAACTCATTCTGTAATTCGCTGTATTGCACGCAATATCGTAAAATACAGCACAACTTTGGGCATCCTTCATTTATGTGCGCGAGAACGATCGATGGGCTTGATAGAGTTTTTCCACTGCATGCGATCAACAATCGTATACAGATCGTCTGCAGATTGTATTCGTAATCGAAGCGAATCAGCTCATGTCGCTTGTGACGCATTGTGTGATATCGTCTTAGCTCGCAGAATATGAGAAACTTGAAATACGATTGTTTCCGCCGCGTGGGCGGAAACTGGAAAGGCACTCGTCGATCTCTCGCAAAAAAGTGCATAGACCCGTGCATTGAGATTGAATTGAAATTTAATCAATCGAAGCAAAGTTTACTAAACTTACTTGAAATTGGTTTTCTCTCTTCTGATTGCAGGTTAAATTTTAATTCAATCTCTCAATCTCATTTTCTAGTTTGATCACGGCTTAATAAGCGCGTGCGAAGAGAGCAAAACGCTGTCGTTCGAGACTCGAGATATGCTCGACTCGAGATATACCCGTGTAATCCTTGACCTACGGCACGGGAAAATGGTTCGTCGGGGATCGGGAATTCCCCCCGATCGCCCATTCTCATCATCAGAGTTTCAAGCTCATATCTGAGCCAATCACGGTGCGTGGCACACGAAAGACAAGTCGAGCAATCGCGGAAATACGACGTATTTGTATTATATTACATATATATTTCTCGCCTTCGTCGTTTCATGAGAGCCATATCGACGTAATTCGATAAAAAAAAAAACGAGTCATGCTTTATTCGCTTTGATCTCTTGATGTCTTGACGCAGAATCAATTGTGACCATTAAATATCGTAGACGTAACGCCGAAAACATTTTCCAATTGGTCTATCGCAGATGTATTCGCACTCGCGTTCATATATATGCGTAGTACATATATATGCCTAGTACACGACAATAGGATACACGTGTTGCGATTCCACATGGAAACAAGTGTATTTAAAATGTTTTGCTAAAGTAGAAAAATTTTTTAAAATTTTTAAAAATTTCACTAAATACATATCTGAAAATAATTTTGTTCGACTATTAAAATAATTATATAGGACGCTCAAGTTGGTTGCTAGACTATGTCAAAATCTTCTGCAATATTACGCTTTTCTACTGTGCAGTTTTAATGCATCCAAACAAATTATTTCCTACTATAAATCTGTATTATGTAATAATAATATTGTATACCTACTAGCTAATTTTTTGTTTTTTTAGATACTTGAGTAAAATCGTTCTTTCCGTGCTTGAACCTTTTATTTTATCTTGTTATGATTTTATCATTATATAAAAGAAACATGGCAAAGGTCCGTTGAAGGAGAAACGATCACTCGTTGTTAGGCGATTATATGATAAGCGTCTCGATGCAAAATGTCTTCCGCATTTGCAAAAATGGAAAAAATGAGAAAGGATATATTTCTCCCCGCAATCGTTTGTTGCTCAACCAAATTCTCATCAAGGAAAACTTGAGATTCTTCTTAGAAATCGAATTAATAGAATAAGCTTCGTGAGAGCAGGATCCCAGTTAGCACATGACAGTCACGTCATGTGAATGACACTCTTTATTATATTCCTCCCC